GGGTGCGTTTCTGAACTGGTCGATACCTTTAAATGTATGTTATGAATCGTGAAAGTCTTTAAGTTTTTAAAGAAATGTTCATATCAACCTTGCATGCTATCAGATGCATGCATCTAAACTTAGTTTAGTTTTTCCTTGAAAAGCACGTGAAATGCAGTATAATCTTTTACAAAACGAATCGTGTTTTTTTTAATTTGCAACTATGTTAGTCTTATTAAAGGGGATGTATGATCGAAATACAAAGAGAAAGAGAGAGATATATATATAGAGAGAGAGAGAGAGAGAGAGGGGGGGGGGGGGGGGGGAGAGAGAGAGGGGGGCCAGATCAGAGAAGGGAAGTTTTGGAATATTTTTTTTCTTCATTAATCTACCCTAAAATAGACTCGAAGCCAAAGCACACTCACACCCAGGCGCGGATCCAGGGGGGAGGCCGAGCGGGCCTTGCCCCCCCCCCCGCAAAAAAAAAAAAAAAAAAAAAAAAAAAGAGAGAGAGAGAGAAGGAAAAGAAGAGAAAGGGAAAGAGGAGAGGAAGGGAAAAAAAGAAGAGGAAGACGAAAAGAAAAGAGGGAAGAAGGAGATCGGGGGGGGGGGGGGAAAGGACTTGCCTCCCAGGCTGTTGCCTCCCCCTCCCCCCCCCCTAATCAAAAAATAAAAGAGAAGGAAGGAAAGGGAAAGAAAAAAGAAAAAAAAGGAGATAAAGGGAAAGACAAAAGAGGAAGAAGAAAAGAAGGGGGATATCAGTTGCAATTTTCCCGCCAACAAGTTGTGGATCGGGGGGGGGGGCAAAAGGCCCTAGCTCCCCCCCCCCCCCCCGTCCCCGCTAAAAAAAAGAGAGAAGGAAGGAAAAGGGAAAGAAGAGAGCTAAAAGGGAACAAAAAAGAGGAAGAAAAAAAGAAAAGGGAAAAGAAGCGGAGATCAGTTGCGGTTAATCCCGCCAACAATGTGTGGAGCGGGGTGGGGACCAAAATGACCTTGCCCCTCCCCCCCTCCCCCCAGCAAACCTAAAAGAGAGATAAGGAAGGGAAGGGAAAGGGAAAGAGGAGATAAAGGGAAAGAAAGAAAAAGAGAATGAAGAAAGGTAAGGGATATCAGTTGCAATTTTCCCGCCAACAAGGTGTAGATCGGAGGGGGGGGGGGGGGGGGGGGGGCACTGGCGTACTGATAGGGGGGGGGGGGCTTTGGAGAAATATAATTCAAACGTGGTTTATTTCTAATTCCAAAACGGTGGTTTACAAATAATGCTGAAATGAGATAATTTTCCGAGATATTTCCTCACTTCTTGCGTTTGTTGGAAAATGACAAATTCCTAAATTTACAGCCAGGCAAGAAAATGCTTCTTGAGATGCCTACATATCAGGGCCCGCGGAACGGCGGGGATCGGGATCCTCGAGCCCCCCCCCCCTCACACTTTCTCTGAAAAAGTATATTAAAGAGAAATAGAAAGAAAGAGAGCGAGAAAGAAAAAATAGTTAACTGCCAGTGTCACATTATAATGGGGTATCAAAATATGCTCATCTAACCATGATTAAATGCCTAAAACCCCAAGGGCTCTGCCCCCTGGATTCCACCTAGGGCCTTAAGGCGGGCCCTTAGATGCTCATCTGACGGTCATTTAATGCATAAAACCCCTGATTTCTGGGGGCTCTGCCCCCTGGACCCCACGCCAAATAGTGTCCTGCCAGTGTCACAAATAATAAGGTATCAAAAATGCTCATCTGACCGTAATTAAACGCCTAAAACCCCTGAGCTTCCGGGGGCTCTACCCCTGGACCCAACCAAGAGCCCTTGATACTCATCTGACCGTAATTGAGTGCCTAAAACCCTTGAGTTTTCGGGGCTCCGCCCCCTAAACCCCAAGCCAATTAGTGACCTGCCACTGTAACAATTAGGTATCAAAATAATGCTCATCTGACCGTAATTAAATGCCTAAAACTCCTGAACTTCCGGGGCTCTGCCCCTTGGACCCCGCCTAGGGCCCTAAGGCGGACCCCTTAATGCTAATCTGACCGTAAATTAAAACCTTAAACCCCTGAGCTTCCGGGCGGACAGGGTATCAACATATGTTCATCTGACCGCAGGCGCGTAGACAGGGGGCGGTAGGGGGGGGGGGGTCCCCCATAAACGCCGGCCTTAAAAAGAGAGGAGTGAAAAGGAAGAGGACGTAGGAAAGAAAAGGGAATAGACAAAGAACATTTTGAAATTTAGACAAGGATTAAGAGTCGAGAACGGTACGACGAATCGTCTTCTTTCTCTAATGATTTAATGAAACGTAAAAGCTTCCGCGCTTCGCGCGGGTGGGGGAAACTAAATTATTTTCGAGAGCGGAACAACGAATCGTCTTCGTTCTCTAAAAATTTAATGAAACTTCGAAGCGGGGGGGGGGGGGGGAACTGAATTTAGACAAGGATTAAGTCGAGAACGGTACAACGAATCGTCTTCTTTCTCTAATGATTTAATGAAACGTAAAAGCTTCCGCGCTTCGCGCGGGAGGGGGGGGGGGGGAAACTGAAATTAGACGAGGATTAAAAGTCATAACGGTACAACGAATCGTCTTCTTTCTCTAATATTTAAATGAAACGTCGAAGCTTCCGCGCTTTGCGCGGGAGTCAGGGGGTGGGGGGGGGGGGACTGAATTTAGACAAGGATTAAGAGTCGAGAGGAAGAAAAGGGAATAGACAAAGAACATTTTTGAAATTTAGACAAGGATTAAGAGTCGAGAACGGTACGACGAATCGTCTTCTTTCTCTAATGATTTAATGAAACGTAAAAGCTTCCGCGCTTCGCGCGGGTGGGGGAAACTAAATTATTTTCGAGAGCGGAACAACGAATCGTCTTCGTTCTCTAAAAATTTAATGAAACTTCGAAGCGGGGGGGGGGGGGAACTGAATTTAGACAAGGATTAAGAGTCGAGAACGGTACAACGAATCGTCTTCTTTCTCTAATGATTTAATGAAACGTAAAAGCTTCCGCGCTTCGCGCGGGAGGGGGGGGGGGAAACTGAAATTAGACGAGGATTAAAAGTCATAATGGTACAACGAATCGTCTTCTTTCTCTAATATTTAAATGAAACGTCGAAGCTTCCGCGCTTTGCGCGGGAGTCAGGGGGTGGGGGGGGGTGAGGGGTGGGGGGGGGGGGGGGGACTGAATTTAGACAAGGATTAAGAGTCGAGAACGGTACAACGAATCGTCTTCTTTCTCTAATGATTAAATGAAACGTAAAAGCTTGGGGGAAAACTGAATTTAGACGAAGATTAAGAGTCGATAACGACACAACGAATCGTCTTCTTTCTCTAATAATTTAATGAAACGTCGAAGCTTCCGCGCTTCGCGCGGTAGGGGGTGGGGAGGGGGAAACTGAATTTAGACAAGGATTAAGAGTCGAGAACGGTACAACGAATCGTCTTCTTTCTATAATGATTTAATGAAACGTAAAAGCATTCGCGCTTCTCGCGGGATAGGGAGAAACATAATTCAGACGAGGATTATTTTTGGGAATGGTACAACGAATCGTCTTCTTTCTCTAATAATTTATTGAAATGTCAAAGCCTCCGCGCTTCGCGGAGGAGGGAGGGGGAAAACTCGCCCCTCCCTGCACCCACCCACCCCTAATTACGTCACTGCTGGTCACCATTACGTACCAGTATTTGGCTCGCATAATTTCAAATTTGGGCCTCCCCCCCTAAGAAATCCTGGATTCGCGCCTGTATAGATCTGTCGACAAACCTCCTTTGTGAATTCGGGCCTATACATTCACATAGAAAGGTTGTAGGCGGTTGTAGGAGAAAGCGGTTGCGTACGAAAAAATTAGACGCAAGCGGCCTACCAGTGGATAATCGAATTTTCGCGCTGATGTTGTGTTGTTGTTGTTGTTGCAAGTTCTACTGCTGTTGTCGTTGTTGATGTTGAAATTGGTAGTAGAGGTAGGCAGCAGAGGACGGGTATATGTATAAGTAGGGTGGTAATAGATGTATAGGGTAAGCCTCGGAAAAGCTTTCAGGTTGTCAAAAACAACCTTTGTTTAAAAAATATGCATAAAGTTTGGTAAACCGGTCCATTGAGGCCCCCAACCCTCATGAAATTTTAGGAAGTATGCCCTCTAGTGTTCTAATATATGATATCCATTGAAATCCCAACCTACATGTATCTTCAGGATATTGTGATTTTTAATTAATCTATACTCAGTAGTTAAAATGTACCGACGAGATGACGAGATAATTCATGAAAAGAAGACGAGAAGCAAGTCAAGTCGACTTGGTTTGGACGAGAAGATGAGATGACGAATCATTGGAACTCGAAAAGTCAGCTTGTTGGGACGGGAAGTCGAGAGGACCAGTTAGGACGATGCCTCCCGGTCCACTGTCCTCCATCAATCACCTATGATTTGGCATGAAACTTCTCCGTTTTGTTGTCGTGTGTTTGTTTTTTTGTTTTTGTTTTGTTTTTTGTTTATTTATTTATTTATTTATGTATTATTTTATTTATTTATTTATTATTATTATTATTATTATTATTATTATTATTATTATTTTTTTTTTTTGGGGGGGGGGGGGGGGGAGAAGTTACCCCTGTATAATTTGGCTCAATCCCCCCCCCCCTTTCATAGCTTGTCAGCCGAAAGTTTAGTCATGTATGAGGTGACCCCTACCCCCAAATTTTGAGGCAACTTTGGCCGGGGAAAATAAATGACGTCAGAGTACCCATAGCCCCTACCCTTTTAACAATCTTTTTTAAGGGCTGTCGCCATCGCGGCATTTCGTTATCTAAATAAGCTGACTTCCCGAGTTCCAACAGCTCATATTCTCGTCTTTTAACTCATCAGCTTCTTGCCCCATATTATCTCGTCATCTCGTCGGCACTTTTCAGAGTCCGTATCTCTACCACAGTTTGTGATTTATGTGATGTCTGTTGCTCTGTATTTGCATCAACAACAGCGCCATCTACGACGAGGATGAAGCTTGCAAAACATCCGCAAGGGAAATTATACAATGTACAAATATAGGTGTTTTTGTTTCTTTTTATTATTTGTTATATTTTTTTAATTGTGTTTATTACATTATGTTTTAACAAATTCTCTCGAAATTACTTGTAGAACACAAATTCAACTAACCTAGTCAGTGACAGGCGAATTATTACAACACACTAGCATAATAATTGAAGCGGACACACATATTTTCTTTTCAAAAGCTTTTTTTAATAAGTTTCTTTTACATATTTACATGTTCATTATGTAATATGTACAAAATGTTACAAGAAAGAAAAAACATCAACAACCATACTTCCCCTTTTCTTGTTGAACGCATGGTGGAATGGAATGTTAAATGACAAAAGCGAAGGCAGAACAAATTTCGATTGTCATGTCATCAGATGTGGTTCAAAATTGAAAGATAATGCTGTTACTTGATTACTGTCAAATAAGACAAAGTTACTTGGAAAACCAACTGAACACAATATAAGACAATGATTAGGAAGTTGAAACATGTTTGTTGAATTAATCGCGCATTTTTATCTAAAGTTGTAGATCCCTTTCTGAGAGAAACAAAATGATGTATGAAACGTATGGAAAGGGTTTCTTCGAAACAGAAACAATCTGAAAATTTCGAATTTCCTTCAGTTGGAACGTTGATCTTTATCAATTTATAATATTCATTATTGACTAATCATAATTTTAAGTACAGATGCACAAAATCAACTCGTGCTTAGACATTGAAACATTTTTAAAGCATGTTTCTAACAGATGGCATTGTTATGCTTAGTCCGAGGACTTTACTTTAATTGTTTCAACTTTAAACTTCTGAAAAGTAATCACTGTTAGGCAAAGTTGCAACAAAGATCATGATCATGAAGAAATATTGATTTATTTCATTACAAAAATCCTGATAAATTCCAACAAACATGATCATCAAAACTGCTGTTTGAATACTTCTGTTCAAACGTGATACTTCTAAGTACTAAACAATAATACTGAGAAAAACAAGAGAAATGTGAATTAAAACGAATTCAGTGATGGATGAAGTGAAGACCATACTCACTCCATGTTACAATGTTGGTATCCACACAAACAAAAACGAGGAAAATTATTATTTCAAAACGAGTTTTATCAAACGGCCTATCAAGAATCAATGACAAAGTAGAAGCGATATCCCAGAACAGTCCGATAACAATGACATTCTAATATCCATATTCAATAATTACACTGCGCCATCTATCGCCGCTACAGACCCCGATATTTTGCTTTCAAATTTTACTTCAACCGAAAATAAAAAATGATGATTACAAATTGAAATATCGTACTTTGACATCTATGTTCTTTTTAGAAGGAGAAAAGGGTAGTTGTCAATCCATCCTACCTCATCTTCAAAAATGTGAGCTGTACTTTTAATGCTTTCGTTAATCCAACCAGTTTGAGGATACTCGGGAAGATAATTTTCCAAGAAATCGATGGGCATGGATCGTTTTTAAACCAATGTCGTTAGTGACGGAATAGGGTTACTCTCATGGCAATGCGACATGTATAATACACAGTTTGCGACAGATAGTTTGAGAAGTACAAATCAAAGTATCGCATCTTCGTCATACAAATATGAAATTTTCGAGTATAGTGGTTCGAATAAGCTTCCTCTTGACACCCAACCATTCTGAGCTAATGACAAGAGTTTCTCACTAACAGGACCCACTTCATTCAGCAGGGATAACAAAGGATAATGGAGAAAAATCACCAAACTTGATTAATGTTTAGTTGCAACAGGATTACGCAACATTGTTGAAACAAAAGATTTAGTAAAAACGGTCAAAAATTAAGTAAACAAAATAATTTTCAAGGTGAAAAGAGATTTGAAACATTTGAAAGAAAAGAATAACAGGAACATGTGCAAGGTTAACAACAATGAAAAGCAGCAACATTGGTAACATTTACATATTATAGAACAGTCCCACTCATTTCTATTGGTGTCCTGTTATTCCGGTACAGGTCTCACCCATGCAACAACATAGGGAGCAACATAGTTCAGATTGAAACCATACGGTCTCTGGTTGGAGGTGGACGCCGAGACACACGGGATCAAACACCCATTGGCTGATATGACCGACTGGTACTGCTGCGGTTGAACCTGGTGTTGGGATGTAACCGTGGTGTGCCTGGAATACACCGCGGGCGCGGTGGCGGTTAAAGGATGACCGCTGACCGAAGAGATAGCCGCAGCGGTCATTGCTGGAACGGTGTGGGTTGGTCGGGTTGAAGCAACGGCTAGGAGCGGTTCCGATGGCTTCATGGCGCAAGCCAACGCGGTACGATTCAGAGGGGATGGCAAGGCATAGTACTGGTTCGTATCAACAGTCAAGGGTGTCATTAAGTGTGCAGGGGGCAATCCACGAGTTACAGACCCACCCGGTAATGTTCTACTAGTAGTTGGCAAAGATGGCAGATTGGAGGAATCTGCAGACAGGGCAAGGGACAATGTATTGGTTTCTTGAGGCGATGTTTGCGTGCTCATCGTTGCTTCGCATTCCGTTGGTCCGTCTCCGTCAGACGAACGTCCTGATGACCAGGGCGTGGCCGCTGTCGTGTCGTTATTAATGTCCAGTTTGGCACGAATCTGTAGGAGATGGGCAGTGAGTCCGACAACCACCTCGTCTTCAGGAGAGAAACCTTCGACATCAACCAGGTAACGGATTGTCTCCTCCATGCAGTCCTGGAAACCGGCCAGGATAGCATCAGTAGGAGACACATCTTGAATTTGATCCGATTCACCAGTCGATGGTTCTAAAGCAAGATTTACATCTGAAGGAAAAGATAAGAGAGGGAGAAAGTGAGATGAGAATATATTAATGACCACGTTGAATTATTGGAGGCATAATTACCCCTCTGTATTTGCATTCATTATCATTCACATTTACTTATAAATGTTTAAAACTTATATGTACGCATCTGCAACTTAACTAGAATCGGGTGGTGATGATGAAAGGTGACGAAAAACATCAAAGGCAAGTCATGACCCATAGTCACATCATTAAATGAGTTCATTTCATCCCTACCCGCTACTGTTACTCCCACACCATACCAGGTACCAAGTAAAACATATAACAACGTTGAGGAATGGTTGATGGATCTGGGAGTTATACACTTATCTAAAAAAGAAATTCCCCCCCCCCCCAAAAAAAAAAAAAATATCACTACTAAAAAAACAAATCATCATTAAAGCTATGCATGGTCTGGAAGATTGTCAAGAAAGGGGGACAACATCTGGGTGGATGGGCATGCACAAAACGTATCGGCTGTTTTGGTATCATTATGTCCAATGATATGAGTAGAGTAAGGTATATGATGGTTCTCTGTTGAAAAGCTTTTCTCCTTGTTTAATAAAGATCGGGAGCTTTAGTCGCCAGTGACATCATCGGCATCGGGTGCCTGAGGGTACAGTTGATCGATCAATGCATGTCTCTTACGGCTCCACTTAACCATGTTGTCAAACAAGTCTCGCTCAAAGACCACTACATCGAGAGAAAGGGCTGTACAAACACTGTACCACACATCCACTATGAGGTGGTGTTTACCTAGACCGGGGAATCGTCGTGCATGCTCACAGCACACAGAGCTAAGACGGGGGTCGATGGGGGAGATGAAGGGTGTGCCCATTTTGTTGATTAAAATTTAGACATAAAGAGGGGGCACATATTGAACAAACATTTCTTTTCCTGGGGATTGGATGGGGCTGGATCATGTTCCGCTGACGGGTTTTATTATAACAATCACGCATCTAGATAATCAATATTCAAAATCATGCTCATAATGTTAGTGAGCGGTGAGGGACAAAAATAAATCACCTCTGAATCCTAAAGTGAAACTAAAAAGTCCACTACGAAATTTTTGAAAAAAAATCTTCTGAATAACAGATAAATAACGAAATATCTCAGAATGGTCGCCACAATGGTGGAAGGGGAGACAGACGAAACACTGACAGACCATGGACAGACCAAGTCAACAGTTAAAGTTAAAAGTTAAAAATAAAGATTTCTTGATAATTTATTTGAAGAAAAAAAGGTTTTGCTTATGAATTCAAGTTCAAATGACAAAATAAAAAAGGATGTTATAATACAAATACAAATGGCATTATCGTCATTTTGCATGAGCTGATGGCTGTTGCCTTTACATACCTGTATGTCGCCCTCCACGGCGATGTGTGTCGGGTGTTGTCGACGAGCTGGAAAACGATCTGCAAAACGCCACCGTGGTCTCGAGCAGACTGGCCTCATCAACGCCAACCGTCTATAGTATAGAAATAGAGAGAGAGAGAGAGAGAGAGAAAGAGAGAAAGAGAGAGAAAGAGAGCGAGAGAGAGAGAGAGAGAGTGAGAGAGAGAGAGAGAGAGAGAGAGAGATGCGAATTGATTAGTATTGAGCCGTATTTATATCATATTTAGATTCTGATTCATTAATCGAGATTTAATCATTATCTCATGCATGTTTACGTAGCATCTCCATTATCCCGTAAAAATCGAAATAAATTATTCCCGAATATTCGAAACTTAAATCATAATCTCAACCGAAAGACTGAAAATGTGCGATCAATAATTGTTAAACCGTGTGATTCTTCATTTGGTTTCGAGCGTGCTCATGTTTATACGTATAACAGTGTCTAATACGAATATATAAAATGCATGCATGACTTTATTTGCATGTATTTCGCTTGTATGCGGATTCTAATCACGGGATTGGAGATCAATTAAGAGAACGTTTGCACGCCATTTTATTGGTGGTACTACTCGTACTAGACATATAGTGCTCTTCTGGAATCTAACCTGCCCACCAAACTCCATCACGATAGAGTACTTCAGATGTATGCATAACATGAGCAAGACATTTCGTTACATCCTTCATTTTATTATTAAAGACTATCATTTTATGCAACAGTAGTTATCGATCTTTATATAAACAAGTGAAATAATTTGATATTTCACCTTTCCCCGACGACTGCATACGCAATCCTTTCTCGACGAAGTGTCGTGAAGGGCACTTAATATACGCCGTCTACGTCATAATGACGTCGAAACTCTTCTTTCTAGCATACACTCAATGACTTGGATTACTGAACATTTCAAACCGCAGGGTGTTTAGATATATATATATATATATATATATATTTAGAGTATAGAAAAACATAACTCATCATATTATAAAAACGAATATTCTCTAAGGTATTGAACGTATAACGTATAAGCTTCCACAAGAAAGTGAATTTGAAAGAGATTTATTCTTCGGATTATCGAGAAAAACTGTTATACATTAAGATGTTGTTTCCGCCTCTTCCATGGTTCGCTTACATGGGCTATATACATATTCATCTCTCTCTCTCCCTCTCTCTCTCTCTCTCTCTCTATCTCTCTCTCTCTTCACCTTCTCTTCCCTTCTCTTTCCCTTCTCTACCCCTATATTTTCTTCCAGATTTATATCTCATTCTTTTAATTTAGTACTACTACTAATCATAACATGAAACAGATTAGAGGAAACAGCTCAAGGAATTAACATGATCGCAAAGGCTTTCAAGAAATCCACCTGAGGTAATTTTAATTTTCTTGGGAGCCATCGATTGAAATGCGCGAACATATAACGTAATTCTAACGTGATTAATGTAGGCTAAATCATCGTGTATATAAATTGCTCTAAATCGATTTTGTTGTTGTCAAAAGTCTTTAAAGCTTATCTGCCATAGTTTACAGGAGGGATTAGACCGCCCTGCAAGGTCACTGGACAGGTGGTTATCTCATCAACTCAGCTCTCAGTTAACATAAGAAAAAGAGGATCATGGGGGACCAATGGTCACCGATTAGGCATTGTTTGTTATATAGAGGGCGCAAGTAGCTACAAGTAGTGCAGTGGGCCTTAAGATCGAGTTTGAAATGACATGACAGCAGTTATTGGAGGGGTTATGAATGAATTTGAAATGCAATTCATGAATTCCACACAATATTAATACAAGCCACCGGGGAAGGCACGCGAAGGCATAGTGGAGCGTTTCATCTGATTAGCTATTCACAATGGCGTTCCGGAAGCCTTGAACGAGAAAATAGCAAATGAAAATAATACGCCGTTCCGCTCTCATTCGAAGTCCATGTTTCTATAGTTGTACGAAAAGAAAGACGTTAAAGGTTATTTCTTCTTCTTTTCAATACCTCTTTCACAAATCGATTTGATTATTCAGGAGTGGGTGTGTGGACTGAACTTGAATGCGTTGGTTCTCTAATGATAACACAGGTCTATGGATCACTAACAATACATCATGGCGCTTTGCTTCACTCATTGTATCCACCTTACGGAGCGTAGCCTCAAGAATAACATAAGAATCGCTCGCCCATGCCCTCTCTAATTCTCTTCCAGTTTCAGCTAGCTCTCTGTATCTTTCCCTCTTTTCATCTACCCTCCATTTCTGTCTTTTAATATAGTATTCCGTCCGCCCTTCTCTTTTTCATTTTTGTGCACTTTGATTTCATCATACTCCTTTCTCATCCGTTCATCTTGTTATACTTAAAAATCAATCCTCATTTCGTTATATTATCCATTCTCTCTGACCTGCCTACTCTTCTTCTATATCGATTTTCCATCTTCCTATCATACTAAAATGTAGTATCTATATATCTCATCCATATAACTCTTCTAACTGGGTACTGTATGCACATCAAGCTCCGGATTTGCGCTGCAACCCTTCTGAATCTATTCAATGTTTACAATTATAATGATGGACATATTCATATGCTTTGTATCAAATGAATGGTCATGGAAATGTATGATCGAAATAAATATAACCAATGTCAACAAATCTAATCGAATCACATCCAATTTGTCCACTATGTCACTGTACAATATTACTATTTTAAAACAGTTTTGTTAATCTCTGGATCGAAGAAAAAAATATTGCACGCTTCAAAAGCACCAGGTTCCTTTGTCTGCATCGCCAGCAAGGTTGGAGCATGGATGGTTTGAGTAATCACTGGCCGTTTCTTGTGTGTGAAGTTCGCCATGTTCAGGGCGCTGATGCTCGCTAACAAATTGATCTGAGTCATACAATACGCGTCGGAATGGTAATATGAAGACTTCACATCTAGACCTGTTCATATGTGAAAGTTAATCACACAGTAGGTGAATGGGTCCATGTTTTTACACAGGCTATTCCGAATAGCAAGACCCGTTAATACATATGTTCACACGGGTCCAACTGCAAGCCAAGCAAATAATCTTTAGTTATAACTACAGGTTGGTGAAACATCGAAGTTAGTGCGTCTGCACGGCTCATAACTTTGAGGGAGGACCAAGCCTGTAGCTGGAAGTTTACCCGTTGATCCTATCACATAGCTCGTGGTTTTAAAAACTGCGAATAACTAAAACAATCGAAACCACGAGTGCGTCCGCACAGTTTTTCCCTACAAGAAAATCTTAGTTTTAAACCAGGAGCTAAACGTTAAGTTTATAGACCCTCGTATGAACCTAGCTGATGTAATGCCCCAGATAAGCACACTGTGACCGTTTCACATCGAAATGGTAATTAGAGTCTTGTAAGAGGATTGCACATGCATGACACGTTAGGAATGACAGATGCTATACGCAGTCTGAGAGACAGATCGCTAGATGTGAAAACGATCTGAATTATACACGAGATGAGTAACATGGTACGAACGGCAGCGGAGTGAAACAGAACCCGTTTCCGAGCGAGGCTGATGATCATGATAATGGCCTTGAACGTGTAATCATCGAGTAACTCTCGGTGAAGTTGAAGACATCTTCTTTGCTTTCTCTCATCTCATCATTCCAACCTTGAGGGTGAAGTTTCTCTGATGTATCTTTAAATCAATTTCTTGATACGTAAGATGATAATTATACATTCACATATTTTTCAGTACAACAATACACAATGAGATTTGCAGACAGCTAGCGCATCTCCTTCTTACCACGCCCACATTCATCAAACATCTCCAGACACCATGTAATCCCGATATGGACATTTAGATTTTACACAGGAATTCTGATGACTATCAAATTATCATGGTCAACTTACCAGACCTAATATAATAATTGGCCATTTGGGAATTGCAAAATAACTATAAGATATTATTTCGGATGTAAATGATAACTATTGGAAATAATTGAATAAAATCCAATAACACAAAATGTTTTGTTCATAGATTAATGAGAACATGTTGCATCTTCTAAAGTTGGCTATGGCGATATGATCATGCAATGAGATACAATTAAGATTAGTTTTTCCCATTTATAAGGTAATCATATATCACTAGGGATAGTAGGAGAAACATAATGTGTCAGTCTTCCATAGACTGAAATCCAGTTAGTCAATGCAACGTTCATTTCACAAGGTACCATAGTCGAAACTGTATTTGAATGGAATCAATACCTACGTGCAAGCACCAAGTAACATTGTGGGAATAGCAAAAGTAGATTTTAAAGTCCTATTTAAAATATCCTTTGATACAAGCCCAGGATTTTCCCTCTTGTTTTTGAGAAAGAGTAATAGTCATAAAGGTAGATGTGCATGAGAGAATGATATTACAGATGTAAAGATAAAACCAAAAACCAACAAATAATTTGGATAAAAACACACAATGACTAAATAAAGGCATGAACCAAATGAAGTGTTCATGAAAGAAGAAAAAAAAGGAAAATATCAATCAAGTCTATGGACTTTCAAAAGTCAATATGTTCAACGCAATCACAACGCAAACAAATCTTTAATAGGATTTCTATCTAAACATCTGTTATCAAGTGTGTCTTTCTCTCCATTTCGATATCACATATTCTCAGTCTCGTGGGGCTGGCTAATAATCTCATATATCATGCGAGACGTGCTTGTAACAATAGAGTATGGCCGTCTTCTTGTCACAATTTTCGCGCCTCCATTCCAATTGCGACGCCATTCGGTGAAGTTGGTCTTCACTGTTTGCCGAAAAAAACAAAGACAGGTTTGAATCTTCGCTTTTATTATTATACAGGTCAGACAATATTGATGGCGTTCAACGAGATTGTCATTTGTTAATACATCTCTTTATCTCAGGCCACGATTGAAATCCTCCATTATCTGTGATATCACATAGTATAAAAGAGCTTCCTATCCTATTCACGTATGTACAAAAAAATAGTCATAAATCGTTGAAGAGCCGTCATAATGGGATGAGCCCGGGGAAATCCCTTGGAGTTCTTTTCAAGAGAAACTAACATTATTACCTTTGTCACACCGCCAAACCGACTACAGACCGACTTTAA